GCCAATCACTAGGAGACTATGAGTTCTAGCCCCGCCTTAGCCATGAAAACCAGCTGGGTGACTTTGGGCCAGTCACCAGGAGACAGAGAGTTCTAGTCTCACTTTAGGCATGAAAGCCAACTCTCTGACTTTGGGCCAATCACCAGGAGTCTGTGAGTGGAACGGCTTGCCTTCAGAAGTTGTGGATGCTCCAACACTGAAGGCGTTTAAGAAGAGATTGGCCAGCTATCTCAGGAGTGAAAGCCATGCAGGCAACATTGTGCCAGTCACTCTCTCTCAGCCAAACCCACCTCACAAGATTGTTGTGGGGAAAAAGAGGAGGAAGAAGGAATGTTACGTGTGTTTGCTGCCTTGAGTTACTTATAAACAGTAATAAAGGTGGAATAAAAAAGTGTTGCACACCGGAAGAGGTTATCATGGCTGGGTTGGAAACCAGTGGCCTTCCTGATGTTGTGGGCTTACATCTCTCCTCGTCCCTCACAGCTGGATGAGGAGAGATGAAGGTCAGCAACATCTGGGGAGTCACAGATTCCAGCAACCTCTAGAATAGACACCTACCATCTGGAGCAAGGGAGAGACATCATGTTTTCATCCGCCGTGTGTTTTCCCAAACAAAATTATACCACTATTCCAACTATATCTGTGGGGTAGCAGGGCAGATTTTGAGAATTAAACCAGCCCTTGGGAAAAGGGACAAGCATCACCTCCTTCCCTGTAGCTTGCCTGCTCTCCCTGCTGCCTCCTGACGCTACTTTTCATTTTGAAAAATGGTGCTCTATTACCAAATACACACCACACATTCCTGCCTCGTATGAAATTTCCCCACGGTGGTTATTTCTCACTGGTCTACTCATCAAAAGCCAAGCATTGGCTGGGTGGAAAAGAGAAGACACAAAAAGCTTTTCTGTAAAGTTTAAGAAGACGGCTTTGGGATTATGGGCGCATATATGTGCTTGTGGTTTCAGTCCGCATCACGGTGAATTCCTCAGAGTTATCCAAATACGCATCAGTGCCTGTCTTCAGAGTTGCAGATTATTGAAATGTGTTCAGCGCAAGTGCGTTCATTCTTATCTTACCAATTTTATGGGGCGGGGAAGGGTAGCAAATTTGGCTTCCATCCTATATTGTGTCCTGATGACAGAAAAGGTAACGGTTTCCCACGTCCAGTCGTGTCCGATTCTAGGGGGTAATGCTCATCGTAGTTTCTTAGCCAAGGGAACCAGTGTCGTCCGAAGACACTTCTGTGGGTCATGTGGCCAGTATGTGGAATGCTGTTATTTTCCCAGTGAAGTGGTACCTATTTATCTATTTGCATTTGCATGCTTCCGAACTGCCAGATGGTCAGGAGCTGAGGCAGGAACGGGAGCTCACCCCACCCTGTGGTGCTCAGGTCTCAAACCCGGGCTGTCAGCTTTCCAGCTGACAAAGCTCAGTGTCTTGAACCAAAAACAAAACCAAAAATGGCTGCCCACATTCACCCCAGCTCCCCTTTCAAACATCACCTAGAATGGAAGAGCTCTGTGTTTCCACCATGTGCAAGTTGGTTTGTTTAAATAAGGCCATGCTAGTCTTTCCTGGCATCTGCAAGCCATTTGAAGCCAACGGGACGGAAGGATGTTTAACCCAGGAGACATTTTTCTCCATGAGTCATTGGCATCACATGCCATGTCATTAAAAATGGGCACCTTTCATCTGCTCGTTTTTCCCCCCCCTAATACAAAAAGGCAGCCTCTGGGGAGGAAGGAAATAACCGTGAAGATCAGAGGAGGAAAAAAAGAGAGGCAGTTATATCTCTTTTCACAGGGGTTCTGACAAAATTAGAGAATGCTAACATTTAGGAAATGTTAACGTTTTGCATTGCAGGAAATCCTCTTATACGCTGCACAATTAATTCCTCAGGAAAGGGGGGGGAAGCAAATAGTTGAGGGGGGAACTTGCATATTAACTCTTCAACTCTGCTACTGCTGAGACTTTTTCTCCAAAGGCCAGTTGAGTTTCAGAATTTCTGGCTTTGCTAGGAGGGCGGGATCGGTCTAAGGGATCCGGGCAGAGAAGAAGAGATGGCGGGGCATCTCTTTAATATTAAAACCCTTTCCTGCTGCATCGTTTGCTCTTTTTCTTTGAAGACTGGCTAGATGGAAGCTCACTAAAATGGAGGGGGAAAAATGCATTTTCTTCAGCTGTGCTAGAAGGGGCAATTGACAGAGCTTAAAACTTGTAAATGAAGTGGAAAAACTGCAACCCCGAAGGGAGATTTCTGAAGATTCCCAATTGAAAAGAAAATTGCAAATCCCATTTGACGCGACCATTACGGGGTTCCGGATCTAACCAGAGGCATCTGGTGTGGGGGGAGGAAAGGGGAAAGCAAGAGATTGGTGTGGAGAAGGAAAGGAGGTCTATGAATGCATGCACTTTGAATGAAAAACAAAACAAAACTGGAATTGCTGAGCACAGTAGAATGAAAGAGCAGCCCTGCTGGATATTTAGCAGGCAGTCTGTGGAGATCTATACAGAATATGGGATTGGGGTTCTATCCTTGTCTCAAAAAGGGGGGCGCAATGGCTCAGCAGTTAAAGATGCTGAGCTTGTCAGCCTGGGTTTGAGACCCAAGCACCGTGCAGTGGGGTGAGCTCCTGTTTCTGCCTCAGCTATCCAAGATATTAATGTCTGGGGGTCAAAAGAGGGTCAGTAAATGTCTGAGGGTCAACAGAAACAGACTGAACCTGGAGCAGCATGGTGACTTAAAACTAAAACTCAAATATTACCTGTTTAGGTAATTATTATCTATTTATTATTACTATAATGATTTATTGCATAATCAGCCAGATATTTAGATTCGATTTGGCATTTTTGCCCACTCATTGAGTCCTTCCCAAGAACTGGGGATAGGCAGATGTTGTTTGATGGTGTTAAAAGAATTGTCGCAGGATGTAATCTCTTCCAAGTAAAGCTGCCTTTTGCAATTGACTGATGGCGATTTTGTCAATGCCGATAGCGTTCAAGGGGTGCTCCAGATGTTTTGGGATTGCACCGAAGGCGCCTATCACTATTGGTACTATCTTTGCTTTTTTTTTTCTCCACAGTTGTTCTATTTCTATTTGCAAGGTCTTCGTATTTTGTGTTTTTCTCCAGTTCTTTCTCCTAGTCATAGTACTATTCATGTAAGTGGTATTCGTGAAATTATTCATGAAGGGGTCAATAAGCGAAAGAGTTTGGGGGCCCTAATCAAGCAGCTGCAACTAAATAACTCATCTTGACAAATAAGTAAAGTTGCTGTCCGGTATACAGTTTTCATTACCCAGATCAGCTTTTGTTGAACAGTTCAAGGTCCAAGAGCAGTTCCCAAGGGATTACAGCAGAGGTCATGGCAATGTTGCTTAAGCTCGGGTAGGATAGGTGCATGCAGATGTGTGTGTGTGCGTCTCTGTCTATATGTGTTAGCTAAGGAGCCTACAAAGGAATCAATCTATCTTGCCCTACTGAAAGAATAAATTTCAAGGAGTCTGAAGAGATGCCCGCTTTGATCTAAGAATCTCAGCCGAGAGACGAACCTCAATTACCAATAATAATGTTAGGACAGACAAGTCAACTTCAAGGCAAATATAGCTTTTCAACTTCAAAAGGAGAAGACTGTAAAAGCAACATCCACCCCAAGCATGACAAGTTGGCAGGTTCAGGGGTTTGCAAATCGGCAGTTAAATCCTAGCAACCAACTGCAACGTCTGCGGTTAAACTCTAGGAGCTCTCAAAAGGCAAAATTAATAATAATAATAATAATAATAATAATAATAATAATAATAATGATAATGATGATGATGATGATGATGATGATGGTGATGATGATGATGATGGAGGAAGAAGGAAGAAGGAAGAAGGAGGAGAAGGAGAAGGAGAAGCAGAAGCAGCGGAAGCAGAGGAGGAGGAGGAGGAGGAGGAGGAGGA